ATCCCTTTCCTGATACCTCAATATTGGCACATTGCTTTTCCCTGTTATTTGTGTCATCATTATCATGCTGTTTTACAGACCCTGTTTTCCAGTTTATTGCATAGATCTTCTTATGTACATGCCTTATGAGGTTTTAATGATGAACAGTTTTAAGATGACTTTGTGGGTGCAGATGCTATGTAAATTCCATTTTCTGATCTACTTCTTCTCCCCCACCCCCCTTTCTTTTCCCCCAGAGGTTAAGATTGATTTTGTACCAAGAGAAGGTAAGAACAAGTCACTATTTTTATGCAAGAAAGCATATTTTCAATAGCAAAGGAAGCAGCACTTTCTTCATTTTTTAATGTATTAATATTAATATTTTTTCATATTGAATACTGAAATGATATTTAAGACTAATTTTATCTGCCTTTGTTATAGAACCCCCCAAAATCCACCTTGACTGTCTGGGCCAATCTCCTAACACCATTGTTGTGGTGGCCGGGAACAAGCTGAGACTGGATGTTCCTGTATCAGGAGATCCAACTCCCACTGTTATCTGGCAGAAAATAAACAAGGTAATGCATAACCTGACACAATGTCTGAGGCAAGAAAGTCACAACAGGAAATGCATTTTTTTTCTCAAATCTTACTTCGATTTATAGTTCTTAGTTACAAGCATTTTCCTCCTCCTTTCAATTTTGTTTTTAAACCTCAAAAAATATTACATAACTGCACTGCAGCTGTTTGGGATTTAGCTGGTTTTGTGATTCACCCTGAACTGCTATTTTTCTGAACTGTTCCCTGTTTTTTCATCCAAAAGAAGGGACTGAGTATATGACAGTAGGATACCATTGACATTTATTCTCTTCCTACCTCAGAGAGAAATGAATCAATGATGAGTCATCCCCATCACCTTCAGCTGATAGGATGGACATGTTCTGGAGATGGCAGCTTCTTTTTTCAATCTTTCTCAAGAATTCTGCAGTCTGTGAAGAGAATGTCATCTTAGCAGACTACTGGCATAAAACTGTATTTGTTATAATGAAAACAGAGAACATTTGCTTATCGAAGCAAATTCATCAGAGAGAATTTAGAAGCCAGACACAAAATGTTAAATGAGCTTCCTTTCTGGCTATCTCAAGCTATCCCTACCCCTCACCAACTGTGTGCTCTCAAGCTACAACTGGCACAAAACAGAAATACTTTGCATAGTATTCTACAGCATCATTACACTTCCATATGCGTAGAGATAGAAAAAATAGTATTTCCAATTATGTTAATTCCCCGAATCTCATTCCTTCGTGGTTCTGCTGCATTCTTTGTTCAGGTTAGCATATTTAATAACATTTAGGACTTCTTTTTCTGCAATGCAGAATTAGTATGGAAACAAACAACAAAAAAAGCCAAGAAATGGAATCTTCCACACAGATGTTTCTCTGATGACTGGGTATCAGACAACTCCTATACAGTGCTATTCCCAAGGTGTGAGGTCTCAACACAGGAATAAAAGAAGTCAGTCTTGATTTGAAGGATGTGCAACATATACTTACTAATGAAATCCTAAATGAACAGTAGCACAGATTCAGAAGACAATGTTTGCCTTCTGTGTTACAGACCTGACTGTATTTCTAAGTGTTATGACATTTACACCAATTTACAATCCCGTTGTTACAGAGAGAGGTAATTCTTATTTTTGTAGTTACAGGAGATGAGTAACTAGTACCAGAGGACAGATTCATAACCAGTTACTGCTGCAGGAATGTCTTGCCTCTCTCTTTGTTAAGATGTAAATTTGGGTTTGCTGACTTACCTTTCCCTTAATTCAAAGCAATGTGACATATCTTTTTCTGTTTCTGCTTTTTACTTTTCATATCGGTTGATTTCCTTCCCAGCTCTGCTAGTGGCCTCAGGTTGCTCTTCGCTTCTCTCACACCTCCATATTCAACCTCCCTAACAAATCTATGGACTCTCTGTCTTGCAGAAACAGCTTTACTGCTCTGCTCAGACTTAGCTAACTTTCTGTGGTTTCTTTGCTTATCTAGCAAAATGACCTAGTTCGAAACAGTGATGATTCCATGACTCCCTCAGAAAACAGCAGTGATTTAAATGCTGATAATAGGGTAAGTTCCTTATTATTTATGCAGACACACAAATGTGCTTAGTGTTTTCCAGATAAAAGCTCATGCTCAGAAGGAAATAAAATTAAAGTCAGGTTAAACTGATGAAGCAAATAGCACATCAGGCCCAACATTCTGCCTCACAAGGGTAATTACCAAACATGACTGGGCACAGGGGACCTGGTGAGCAATTTTAGAGTAAGATGCTGATTGAGTAAATCTTTCTAATCATCATCACTTGGTGGCTGGACTACAAGGAAGCAAAGCAATTATTTGAAAACTCTTTTTAATTTATTTGTGAATGTTTATCTTTTTTATTTCCCCCCACTAACTTGTAAGACTCAATAATATCTAAGGGAAAAAACAAACTAGGACAAAATCTTGGACATAGGTAAAGAGGACAATGGGTCAAGAAAGTGGACTGCGTGTATATAAAACAGAGAAAGAGGACTCATTTTCCATCACCTTTCACTTTTGACATAACTTTTCTTTTGACAGAGTCAAAAATATTTTACATTTATTATACAGCAACCACTCTCAGGGTTAGGATTCTGCTGTACTAGACATTATTCAGACACATATGCTGTGTAACTGTTCCTGTTCTAAGTTCTTAGATAGACAGACACATAGAGAAGAAAGGAGTGTGTTATATGTGTACAACAAAGTTGTGGTCATTATGTTTAGACCTCAAGGAAGAGGAGAAAGTTTCTCCATATGGCATTCTCAAGTGTCAGAAATCACACTGATGTCATTAACAGTTACAAGAAACATGGTAAATATTTTAGGGAAAAATTGTTAAAATTTGTGTTATCCAATGTCAAATGTAGATATTGTTTATCAAGGATGTTTGCTCAACATTTGGATTTGAATATGAAAACTTCCTTTAATTTGCACAGTACCCAACTGTTATCCATCCAACTCTTTGCACGGATACCAGCAGCTCTCCTAAGTAGGAATTTGTGGAAGTACTTACTAACTTCTTTAAAATGTAGCTGGATTTGTGCAACTAGTGTAAATCGCAACAACCTGCAGGCTTTCAGAACCAATTTTCCCAAATCTTATGTGAGCCACTCAGTCTATATTTTCTTTCTTCTACATACAAATAGCTCCTGAAAAACTTTATAGCTTTTCAAGAATTTTTATAATATTCAATGATTTGAAGATTTTCACCAGCTTACACACAGACTCATCAGCTTGTCCCTGGCACCACTTACAACGATTTTATTTGTTAACTTCAATACCCACAGCTTCTGTTTGAATCTGAAGGCAGAGTTCGTGTGGAGATGCATGAAGATCATTGTGTCTTCATCATTGAAGGAGCCGAAAAGGAGGATGAGGGAGTATACAGAGTTATACTTAAGAATCCAGTGGGAGAAGATAAGGCTGATATCACAGTCAAAGTTATTGGTAAGTGAAGGAAAGAAAAGAGTATGAAAGCATCTTGAGTTCACTGAAACTCACCCTCCCCTAAAACTGAACCACGTTCTGACCTTAGGTTTAAAAAAAACTAGAAAAGGATCATAACTACAAAAATACTATCAATCACAAAATTTGGCATTTTTTCAGAGGTAGTTGCTTTCCATGTGAAACATCAAGAGAACAGCTCCCAGTAGGAATCCATGTGTTGCCTGTTTCAGGTGATCCTATCATTTTACAGATGACATTCCATAATTCTTGTCTGAGAAATTAAAAGCTTCTAGTCACTTTGCTGTGATTTATGTTTGTAAGCAAAGATTACCTTATTCTATAAGCAGTAAATGGTTAATGGGATAAAGAGGCATAATGTATCCAATATAAGATAAACAGATTCACAGACTCTTCAACAAGTCACAGAAGAGCTGGGGGAAATATGATTTTGAGTCAGCAATTTTTGCAGGGTTTTTTTAATAATACTTAATTTGCTGATACCCTGGCACACATAACAAAAGGCCAGGTTATAAACAAATTAGTAATGATTAAAGAAAATTACTTTCAGCTACAGTACTAAAATGTAGAATTGCTTGGTGAATACTTTCTCCTTTCACCTTTTATAAATATTTAATCAGGACCTTTACTGTGAATATCTCCAAAGTAACAAAATATGTGACGTGCAGTTATTGTATTTTCTAAAGTATGTTCTAGAGAAAATAGGAAGCCCTGGAGCAAGCCTCATCTTACAGAGCATAATTACCTCAGTACCTTACTTTTTTGTAGTAAATTTATCCTGTCTGGAAAGAAAAAGGGAGCTGACTAACCAGTGGTATTTAAAGGAAACCAACCTAATACAGAAACAGCAAAGAGCCGGATTCACTTTAGACTAAGAAAATACATTGTTGGTTGTCCCTGCTGTCGCTGTCTTACAAAGTTGTATCAATACCATACAGAAAAATGTTAAAGAAAAATATTTCATTTACTTGCATAAAGAAATCGAAACACTGACAACTCTCATTCACTTTCACGCTCTCCTCAGATGTTCCTGACCCTCCGGAAGCTCCCATGATCAGCAACATTGGAGAAGATTACTGCACTGTGCAGTGGCAACCCCCCAAATACGATGGTGGGCAACCGGTGCTTGGTAAGAAATCCTAAAATATGAAGGCCTACATTTTTTTGCCGCTCCTTTAAAATGCGCAGAAGAATTCCCTGTGTTTACTCACTCTAGGAAGGCTGACCCTCAGGCACTAGGCGCTCTGGTATGTGTTCAAACAGGCCTAGGTTCTGGCCCTCCAATTCTGGGGAGACAGTGCCCCCTACCCATGCAATCGCAGTCAGGGAGGTATTCGGTGAATAAGGTACCAGCGTACAAAGGGTGATATCAAAACTAGTTAAAGCTAAATATTCTCATTCAAGACTGAAATTTTAGCTCAGTACACAGGCCTTTGTACTTACCTAGAAATATCAAAACAGGTCCATGGCCACCTCAGTTACTGACTCCAGACACCTGCAATTTCAGGCACTCATGCAATACATGTTTTTGGTAGAAAACTGTGTCATAATTCTATTTCATATAAAACCACGAGTCATAAAACACTTTTCAATCGTTTTCATGAACTCAAAATCTGCCCTAAAAACTAGAGTACAAAGTTAGCATGTGATGCAGGAAATGAGCAGACGTGATCAAGAATGTCACTGACGCCATTTTAAGCTCTACACAGAGCACAGTGGGGTTTGGATAAAACTTTCTGTGATCGTCAGAAGAAAACAACGCAGAGTCTTGACCAATATTAGGGGAAAGATTTGTCTGGAGTCCATGTCTAGGAATTTGTTTAATAAAGATCTCTGGAGTCTGAGTTTCTTTAAAAAACAAAACCAAAACACAACAAACCTTGAGAGCTATATAGATTCCCATGTGGGTGCCAGGGCTAGAAATATTTAAAAATTATTTTAATCCCCTGCACAGTATCTGGAAAGAGAGGAGTTTGTGTTTGCTTTTGGATGTTTGAACTTCATTCATTTTCATGAGATTAATCTCATTTACAACAGAGTTTATCTATGCAAGAATATACAAGGTACTGCTGGACCAGTCTTTTGCAGTTTCATCGGTTTGGACAGGAAGCACACAAAAAGTTAACCACTTAAACTATTATGTGCCTATAAAATAATAGCTGTCCCATTACCTCAGTCAATCCTCACCTCATTGACTATGCAAAGCTCACAATTTTGTTCTGCAGAGCTTTCAGGGCACACATTTTGGGAAGTTCTTTGGTTTATTTTCTCTGTCAAAAGAATGATTTTGTTAGTGCTCTGCTAACAACCCTTTGCACTACCTGAGGCTCTTTCTTCAGTTAGCTACAAGATCACACTACTAACACAGCTAGGAAAAAAAGTCTGCAGTGGTGGGAGAGGAAAAGCCAAGATGCAGCACTAGCCATCCAAGCAGAGCCTTAAGAGCAAGTTAAAAAGGCAGAGGAAAAAAAGACAAATTCATTCTTGCCTGTCTTCATATTTTCACACATGGCACTGTAGGCAGTCTGATACAGTCTTCATTAGCTATACCCAACAGATATAGAAAAGAAATTCACATCCCATATTCACTGTTATGCAAACTATTCATGGGGGTTTGTGTACTTTTTATATTACTAAAAGAGCATCTTTATCATTCACACATTCTGTGCATTTGGGGAAATAATCCATTTTACCAAAGGTCACCAATACTACCAGTATTGTAATTTTAACTCCTTTCTGCCTCTTTTCTTTTTTGCCTTTTTAAATTGCAATTCTGCTATGCCCCAGTGAAGAAGTGTCTCTGTTCTGACAGGAAGCACTGCATATCTAAAATGGTAGAAAACCAGAAACTGAGTTGATGAAACTTCTCTCAGTCTCACAGACTCCTGGTAAAGAGGAAAAATCAGGAATCACAGATTCTTTGTTTACAGCATTAAACTCTGTTTAAAAACTACTGCAGACAAGCACACCAGGAGTAACTTTAGGGATTAGAAGTGATGATACAACCTGTCAGCTTAAAGGTGCTTCCACGACTCATTTTCCAAAACATTGTAGAGACTCCCATGCTCCTGCCCTTCAACACAGACCAGAAAGGCTGCTGGTGTCTGTGCCTATACCATGTCCACAAACGTGCCTATTGCTCTCCATCTCCCTTTAGACACCCTTACTGTGAATCATATTTCCCAGGTATGCCAAAGGGACGTTTGCAAGTTTGACAGCCGTGACTTTGGTGAGCAGCAGGGATTGAATCATTCACTTACACAGCTCAATTTGTAAGTCCTTGCTATAGACTTACACTTCTGTAGCTGACCCTGTTACAGACATCTGTACAATCCTCTGTAGTCCATGGGTAGAAACAGACATGTACAATACACACAGATACATCGTATGTGCAAATGACTATTCAGTGTATTCCCTGATTATTCATTTGGGAGTTACAAGATGAATAGCTTTCAAAACAAAGTCTGTTTAAAAGAAGTTGACATGGATCACATCCAGGCACACTACCCACAACACAGAGAAGCAGCAGCAATTTAATATAGCTAGATGGAAAGAAACTGTTGCTAAGTTCTTTTTAGCAGGTCAACTGGAAAATATCGTACACGTTTCCAATGTGTTATACAACCATCCTTCATATTAAGCATCAGGAATCACAGATTCTATTCCCAGTTTGGGGAACTGAGAAGTTTAGCTTTCAAATTTGTAATCCAGCCTGATTTAGTCATTCTGAAAAACTGTGGGAGTGTGGATGTTGAGGGCACAAGGGAGAGGTACTGAGACCTGGATTCTGGGCATACAGACTATGTGTAAACTGTACTACAGAGTTGTTCTGCAGTGCAGCCAGTTCTCTTGGTTCTCTGTTATCATACAGGTTCACTTTGAAGAACTGAAGAACAGTGAGTGGCCATGCAGTCTGGGAAGCACTGTGCAATTCCTCCACAGCAAAAAACACTTCTAGCAGCAGTTCTTTGATAGAACACTTGTTAAAAAAACGAAATGTCAAACTGTTCTTCCAACTAATTTTTTGCTTTGGGATCTATGCTGTTAGTCAGGATTAGTGAATTGCAGCAGAATATGAGAAAGAAATTAATTTTTAAACTCCATACCTCATCTTATATTTCAAGGCAACTTCTCTTTCACTTAAAGGGATTTTCTTTTTTCCTGCATGTGAGATAACAAATTGCAGTTCTTTCACTTCATGACAGCTATCTTTTACATCATAACAGGGTATATTTTAGAAAGAAAGAAGAAGAAGAGCTATCGATGGATGAGACTGAATTTTGACCTTTTGAAAGAGCTAACCTATGAAGCCAAGCGAATGATTGAAGGAGTAGTTTATGAGATGCGGGTTTATGCTGTGAATTCTATTGGCATGTCCCGGCCAAGCCCTGCCTCACAGCCCTTCATGCCAATTGGTGAGTTTTGCCACACTTCGTGTTATTGCTAGGACAAAACCAAGACAGGACAATTTTCACCTCTTCTCTTATAGCTAAAAAGCATGTGTTAGGAAAGAGGCTATCAACCATCTCTATATTCTATATTTAATCAACCTTTTCCTTTGTAATCTTCCTCTTCTCTCTCTCTCATTCCTCTTCCTGAAGAGCACAGAGGTTCCAGTTTCATGAAATCGCTGATGAATTTTTAGTTGTTATAATTAGAAGTGTGAGTGTCATCCTGGATCTGGAAAGGAGGAGAACTAATTGACAGAAATTTCCCCGTCTCTGTCAGCTTCTCCCATTCCCTTATGGATGCAAATATCACAATATCCCACCCAGTACTCCCTTAATCCCAGCCCTCTCCACAGCTAAAACGATAGCTGATTAAGAAAATATTTGAGGAATGATTTTCTATAAATAATCCTCTCCAACAGAGCAGTGCGGTGTCTCCTGCAGTCCCTGAACAAGGAGCAAACTAAAAGAGTCCTCAGGAAACCTGCCTGCTAATACCTGTAGGGAGAAGACGCTCAAAAATATAAGTAGCTGGAGATTAAAATGACTAGAGTTGCTAAATCTACAAAGATCAGCGAAGGGGGACAGCCTGCTCAAGGAGATACTGTAAAAGCAGATGATGCAGCAAAGGAGTCAGATGGAAAGGCTGAACTGCAAAAAGGGTCTCTTAATTCTGGATTTCAAACACACAACAACTGGTCTGCAACAAAAGAGGTCAAACAAGAACCATCAAGTGGAGCTGCTGAAAAAAAAGGTCCAAAGTTTTCATGGGATAGGCAGAGTTTTACTTGATTAAGGATAAAGTTCACACTTACTGCTTCAGAGAAGAGGTTTGGGGTTTTGATCATGTACTGTATGGCTGTGTATGCTCCCAACTGCATTTGCCTCCTGTGTGCTGTCCTTGCTGCTATGTGAATATGAAAATTTTTAGACAGTTACAGAAATGAAACTGGGTGATATATATATTTTTTTAATACGATAACATTAGGAACTAAGATTAGTTTCAATGAGCTCCACTTCATGAACCTGTATTTAACTTTCTTCATAAAATCTGTTATGTATAGTCAAAAGATGTTCAGTTTATGATGCATATACACAGATAATGCCAAACATACTTTTCTTTAATGTGATTGCTCTCATGCCATGTATACTAAATTTCACAGTACAGCACTCTCAATGTTATTTTGAAAAAGTCATCTTTATGCTTGCTTTTTGGGATCAATTATTGCACAGTAGCATTTGTGTACTTCTGATTCTTCAGTAAGGGCTCTTCCTGACTATTTTTTAATTTTAGACAAGAGTAAAGCTGAAGAAGACTGAATTTAGCTAGTGGTCTTTCTGAACTATGGGTTTAGAAAGAACCATGACACACCTGTTCTAAAGAGCTATGAAAAAGCTATAGCTAAATTAAATGAAAATACTTCTGCCTCAAAATACTTTCTCAGGTATGTCTCTGTTACAAAAGCGCAAATCAGAACTAGTGTTTATGTAAACATGTAGCCATAAGTTTTGGTCATTTTTTCCTCTGTTAGGGAAAATGAGTGAAGTCAAATTTATCCACTGATGAATTTGGTCCTCCAACTATGTGAATTTTGTCCAGTTACGATTAAGGTATAAGTACAGAATACAAATTGTATGTATTCTTATTTCTAAACTTTTCTGCAGTCTTCTAATGACATTATAACTCTCTCCCACAAGTCGTCTTTTTTCACTGGCTTTTCTCATAAGGGAGTATCTATGAATAGGAACCATTATCTTAACCTCTTGTTCCCCTTCCTATTACCGGAATCTTATGCTGTGCTTCTATGAAATGAAGCATTAGGTGTTGCTCTTTACAGCTGAGCCTCAGCTAGGTTTATTTTATTAAAACAGACAGTGGTATAAATCATCTGTAATCACTCCTTGTACAGCCTTTGGATTCCGTAGTTATATTGCTGTTTCTCAGAATCTACTTCTACATTTTTCCTTACAGCTCCTCCAAGTGAACCAACCCACTTTACAGTGGAAGATGTTTCTGACAGTACTGTTGCCTTGAAGTGGAGGCCCCCAGAGCGGATTGGAGCCGGAGGACTAGACGGTTATATTGTGGAATACTGCAAAGATGGATGTAAGTAAGCTTAAGTACTAGGCAGCAGCAACTGAACATTGAAAAAATACTATGATTGCAATAACTTCACTGCAATAAGCTAATAACATCACCATATGCAGCATGAACCATATCCAGAACTCTAATCCATGTCTAATCATCACCAGACTTACCACGACATGACTGCAAAATCAGGAAAGTCACATCAGCCATAATGTCACCTTCAGAATTACCATAAACTTCAATACAGAAAAGTAATACAAAAATATCCTTGCTGTTTGATATTCACTGCTATACTTTCGTATCATTCACAAATGGCAAATTCCTTAAAACCAATATAACATGACTGACAACATTAGTCAAGCTTTAAAGTAACTGTTACTCATTTAATATTTTTGCTGATAATAAAGATCATAACACCACCATATCTACAACACTCAAAGTACTGTGATGACATTTATGCCATAAGAGTCAAACAACAAATTTATACTCACTTTGATAAAGAATTTTTCCCTGACAATAGGCTCGACTGCCATATAATCTAAACTATGGGATTTACAGGGTATAATTTATCCAGAAATAATCTATAATCTTTAACAAGACATGATGATGGGATTACCAGAATCACTATATCATTGTCACAGAACAACTAAGGAAGCACTAAGAATTCTGTTCTACAGTGTCAATTGAGAAGTTAATAATAAATTCCAGCAGTTATGTGGCTCTATTATTGTTTTCAGCACACATCACTCTCAGCAATCTGTTTGGACAGCCACAGGAGATAAGCTTATTTCAAGAAAAAATATTAAATCAAGGCTTCACTTTCTTGATAAAAATACTTCCCAAATTCTTCCCCTTCCCTTGCAATGAAAATAAATGTTGAGAAGTCCCACAGCTCTAAGCTCTATAACACAAAATGCCTAATGAACTACCCAAAGATGATTTCCTTACACTCAGCTACTTTGAATAACAAAGTGTAGAGATTCCTTAACTCTATATGTAAAGACATGTTCTAGACCCAGAGTTCTTTTTCCAACTTATTCTCTTTTAGGTGTGTGTTTCAACTTAAATTCATTCTACCCTAACCCCAATTTACTTTTGCTTGCAAACAAGGCATCAGTTTGGAAAAATAACATATTATTACAATATGCCAATACTGCACTTGCAGCTACAGAATGGATTCCTGCACTTCCTGGCCTAACTGAGCGCACATCTGCACTGATTAAAGATCTGGTCACAGGGGACAAACTTCATTTCCGTATAAAGGCTATAAACTTGGCTGGTGAGAGTGGAGCAGCAATAATAAAAGAACCTGTTACTGTTCAAGAGATCTTGCGTGAGTATCTATACTGAATGAATCATTAATTTATTTCCTCTGG